AAGGCTAGAAAAGAAGAGACAGAGAATGCGGAGGCGTGACTTCAATGAGCTATCGTTTTCTTCCCATTACCGACACCCGCACTTGACGATGATTTCCCAACAGTCACGACACCCTGAGAGGCCACTTCGTCAACGTCTCAGTCGAAGTCCGCCTACCTTCCTGCAACTAACGACGGTACGGTTCCTGCCACAATGCGCCATTCAACTTCAATTGGCCCCCAAAAAATAGCGATTTGTTGAGATTCGAAACAACTGAGCATTGCAGGTGGTGGAAACTGTTTTCACGCTTACCATGATTCCAATTCATCGATGTGGACTTGTCGTTTAAAATTTCTATAATGTGTTTGTATTTAAAAAGAAAATAACAACAACTAACTGCTTATCATCAAAGAGGTATTGTGCCTAGATAATTGAAGTTAATGTAATCCGTATACTGCAATGCATCTTGACTTCTTGTACCCGCGTAAGAACATGCAACGTAAGTTTTTTTTAAATTAATTTTCAAACTCACTTTGAAAAATGTCTCTGCTTGGTTTAGGTTTAAATTTCAAATTTATTTGAAATCGTATGAAGAGCACATGTTGGTTAAAGGAATTGTTTTCAAGTATTTCGTCATGAAAATCTATTGTAATTTTCTCTCGCTGCGTCATGGTGACAAAAGCAAATCAGAGACCTTAGCAAAATAAAAAGCCCGCATAAGTGACAAATGATGTTTAAAATAATTGACTAATCTCTGAAACATCGAAGACAAATTTTCCTAAATTAGAATAAAATAATTGTATGGTAGTATATCTTACGTGAACTGTGGACAAAGCAAACGCTAAAGAACATTATTTAATGGGATACTGGTGGAAATACTACAATTGAGAGTGATTTAAAACTCGCATTATATCACGATATTAAAAAGTGTGCTCGTCCTCAACCGTAAAGTTCATAATGCTCCTAATCTGGCTTACTGGAGACATAGAGAAGCAGTTGTTTTCGCCCAGCAACACAGTTGTTAGCTCATAAATTCAGTGTTCTTGCGACCCAGCATTGTGCTACAATTTAATTAGCTGCGAGACTTCAAGGACGTAAATGGTGTGCACATTCGTTTACTAATTTGGCTCGTTACGTCCTTTATTGCGATTAATCACAACAAAGTACAGAGCTCTCTTGTAAGCGCCAGTCGCTTGCTGTAGACCGTTGTTAATTGCGCTGGGCTGTCGCGAGGCGCACACGCAGACAAGCGCGCCCGACGGCCCCGAAATGTCTCTCGCTGTCCTCTCCTTCTCTCGGTCCCTCTTTTCCCTCCCATTCTCCCTCCCTCTCTATCTTTGTGTGTTCCTCTGTCCTTCCTCTGTTCCCCTTCCTTCTCTTTGCCACATTTCTCTTTTACCTCTCTACCTTCCTTTTCACTCCCACCTTTTCGTACTGCATTTGTAACCTTTTCATATGTTGGCTTTAATTTTCTTCCTTTAACAAACCCATCAGACATATTTTCAGAAGTTCGTTTCCTTTCAGTTCCTTTTTTCTCTCTTTGTTGAATCTATTTGTATATACCTCATTAATACCGGAGGGTGTAAGGTGCTTAAATTCGTTATTTCGTTGACTTTGATGGAGAATAAAAAATCATTGCTTCTGCCATAAGTCAGAGGTAATGGTTCACATAGACTCACTTTTTTTCTCAAATGTTGCGAGCATCTTTAGTGTTTTGTTTTTAACACACGTTACACATAGATAGGTAGTACATCGTTACGTTAACTAGTTTTGTCATGTAATATTGAGTATCCTAAAATAGAATGTAAAAGGCTTTGGCCATGAAGCAGTTCTGGCTTGCCATATGCAGTTCTTTCACGAAAGGCACAACAAATTCCTTCCTATATTGAACAATGTCATTATTTCTCATTGACTGTACGCACCAATTTTATTTATGCTATTAAATGACGGTGTGTCCGTACACGGTTAAATAACCTCTGTGAATTACGAAGCAGAGTAAAGCCATCCCTTTATTCTGCCTTCGTTAATTTACAAAGTTCTGTTCCCATCGGATAGAAGCACAAGGAATGTGAAAGAAGAAAAATTAAATTTCTTAGAAAACATGGTAAAAGCGGAAGTTAGAAAACTACTTCTGGTAAATTCTCAACGAGGAAGAGATGCGGGCGAGAGAGCAACACCGGTGGTGGAAGGCGGGAGTGGGTATTAGTATCAGAGCAGGGAGAAATCCGGGACGCTTTGGCTGGCGAAAGAGCGTACTTGTGGGAATGTGCTGGATCAAGCACGTAGCTAGGGGTAGGAAACTAAAACCCATTCCGTAACAATGCTTCGCAAAATAGTCGCGAACTAAGGGGTGTGTGGTCACGTGTTGAAGACCGTTGGCTGTGGAGTGTGGATTAGGAGTTGGACGAGGGATGAAGGAAGTATAAACGAGGGCAAGGACGAATCGTGAATGCTCGACGAGTCGCGCGTGCGAACTGTTCACGACGACAGGGTGATCGGGGGAAACGACGGGTCGAAGCGTGGCGTACAGTGGGTCGAAGTAAACCACAAAGCATTCGGAGCAACAAATAAAAAAAATATTCTAAAATGTTTTTAAAATATTTATTATGATATAAGGATGAAGTAAATAACAAAGAAGCAGTAAATTTAATATTCGCGTTGGACTACTATATACACGTCTTGTGTTTTATTCAAATTACCTCCATAAACAATAGAAAATTATTTCTCTCTCTTTCGTTCTCTCTATCTCTTTCTGTCTCTCACTCTCTCCCTCCCTCTCTCTCTCTCTCTCTCTCTCACTCACACACACACTCACGCTCACTCTTTGCCTCTCATAACACCTGAGTCGGATTCTGATGTGACACCCACATATTCATTATTGACGATGTCTTTCTAGAACATTGGGAGTGCGCTACATGGAGGTGCAGGAATCAACCGATCGCCAAGTTTTAAGGTTAGGGATGGAGAAAAGATAAGATCGTATGTAGTTTGTATTTCGTTGTTTGTCCCATCGCTCTCCTGTAATTAATTGTCGGAGAAGACTGAATTGAACCATCAGAGCAGCCGGTTTATGGAATTATTTTGGTCGACCTAATATCTTTTAGTTTGTGTCTAAAATCCACAACAATCGAGGTTCGAACCCAACACCTGGTTTACGAAATTTCAGAAAGGGTCTTGCAACTGCATTCGCTAACGTATCCGGTTCGAGAACTCTTTGGTGAGGAGACGTTATTGTAAGTTCGGTTTAGAGGAATACATCTATTCTCCTTTCACTAGTGAGATGCCTATTTTTAGTGAATGTTGGTAAATGGGAGAAGTTATAGAGGATAAAGAGGATTTTTTTGTTGTTGTTCCCCCTCCTCTGAGTTTCGATGCGGTCTCTCTTCGATGAGAACTCTGGAGAGAAATTACATTCATGTTAAATATTTACATTTTTTCTTGTCTTTGACATGCTAGTTATGTAATGAAAAAAAATGCGCGAAACGAGCCCTTGGAATCTCATCGGCCCACTGCGACGTGAGCGCGGGCGCGGCGCCGGAGCGGAAGAGCGATGCTGTGCCATTGGACCGCGGACGCTTTGTGGCACGGCGCTACCCACGGGTCGCCGCACCCTCACCCCCTTGCCCCCCCTTGCCAAGGCCTCCTAGGGATACCGTCGCTCCCGCCCAATCCCCGGCCTCATCCACACCTCACCCCACCCTTGCCCCATCCTCCTCCCCACCTTCGCTCCCACCCACTCCCCGACCTCATTCACACCCTCACCGCACCCTTGCCCCGGCCTCATCCCCATTCCATCCTCATCCTCGCCTTCCTTCCCCGCCCTGCGCTCCGTCCTTAACTCAGATCCGTTCCCTCGGCTTCACCCCACCCTCACCCTTCCTTCACCCCTACTCTCGCCTCTGCCTCCGCCCCCTCGTCCTTGCCCTCGACCTCGATCTCGGCGCGAACCCTGCGAGTGCGTGCGGCCATCAATAGTGAATCACACGGAAATATTTATTAGGACACTACATCTCACGTCTTTCCTTCCTTTTACAACCAGAGGCGCGATGGTCAACGGAGTTATGTGACTAACATGGGAAAATAAACATCTATACGACTTTTCACAGCTAAAGAATTATTTTTGTTTTTGCATTTCTTTAAAAGCGGTGTCGATACTTCTCTAAACTGATCTCTCCCTTGGTCATTGAAAATTGTACGGTCAACTCGTTTCAATCAACGGTTTCTTGTAAAGAAACACATATTGTTTCTTTCGATGACAATGCAGCATTTGCTGTAATGTTTAATTATGGCCACTAAAGATCACCCACACTATATTGTCGCGGATAAGATTTAATATTATTGTTGGTGAGGTTAATAATCCGAGGAAAGGATTCATTGAATTAATATGGATACTAGACAAAATCTTTTTCTCAAAAGCTAATACGATTGCAGTAATTATAGGGCTTCGAGCAGTGACATGGTAAACCACACCAGCCAAAGCAAAACTTCCCTTTTTTCGTAGATATTAACATTTGAATTTTAATGAACGTGTAACTTGGCAAGTTTCTTCATATGTCTTACGATTTTTGAAGGACTTGGGGTTGTAACAAGACGAGACATTTCATCGAAAATCGAGATATTAACATTATAAATAGGTTTGCGGATGCGTGGCTTATCTTGATATTGTTACAAGCCTATCAGCTGATGAATTTTATTAGTTAAATTTGTGAATGTTGTATTTGTATGGAGAGAATACGAATTCTAGAGAACGATCTGCAGAAATTACTAATGAAAATTGTACGAAGCAAACAATTGAAAATAATCGATTTTTTAAGGTCAAATAAAGATATTGAAATTTGTAGTTCGTGCTGTTAATGTATTTTGCTGTATCTCTATATTAATGTAATCATTTTTTGTTATTTAAATATATTATTTAAATATATATCTACATTATTTTAATCACTCTATTTAATTTTGACTTTATCGGATGAAGTGAACCTCTGATAAAGTGATTCAAAAGCTTTAGTCCCCAAAATTTTACAATGACTGTATATAGAACGGCCTCTGATTCTGTGTCGCAGGTGTGCGTGTTCCTGTGGGGCGGTGCGCGCACGCAGATGGCGCTGCTGTACAATCCGCACCGGCGCCTGGAGCTGTGGCGCTTCTTCAGCTACATGCTGCTGCACGCCGACCCACTGCACCTGGCGCTCAACGTGGCCATCCAGCTGGTGCTGGCCACGCCGCTCGAGTACGAGCAGGGCCACTTGCGGACGGGGCTCGTGTACCTGGGTGGCGGCATCGCGGGTGAGTCGGTACGGGTGTCCACGCAAACGGTGGTTCGGTCAGAGAGTATATAACATATTCGGTCAGAGTGAACATTTGGTATTCGGCGAGTTGCAAGCGACTACTCGCCGAATTCCGAGGGGAGTGAATGAGCTCATGCTATTTGCCGAACGACGAACGTTCGGTCCCTCCTCGTGTCGGTCTTTTGAACACATCAAGCGAACATTCACCGAACACATCTGCTGCTCGGGATTGGGCGAACAGTAATTGGTGACTGTCGAATGTGTCGAGCCGCCTTTAAAGTGGCTCCACGCTTTCGGCATTTGGAAAATAGAAAGCGACTACTCACCGAATCCCAAGTTGTAGGGACGTTTCGCTTGCTATTTGCCGAATGCCAAACATTCAGTACTCGTCCTATCCGAAGCATGTCAGCCTTTTGGTCACATCAAAGGAATCGAACATTCGTCGAGCACATCAGCTCCTCGGGACTGAGTGAACAGTCGCCCGCTACTCTATCGAATGCCGCTTGTGTCTAGCACGAAGGTACAATACTGATGCAGGATAATAACATCGCTCGTAGTTCATTTTTTAATGATGTATCTGTCGATGGCCGCAAAAAGACTAGTTCGGTTCAAATGAGAAAAATCAACTAATTTCTTTCTGATAACAATGTTTATTCCAATTTGCAATTCATTGTTAGTTGTAGCGGTAATTGACATTACAAATAAAATAATTAGAGGCGTTGTGTTGCCAATAATATTATTGGCAAAGACAATGCCTCTAATTATTCTATTTTCAATTCTTGACTTGTTTCTCACGAAAGACTGAATATACAATAGATGTATGTACGTTTCCTCTTCGCAGGGTCGTTAGGGACATCGATGATGGAACCTGAACTGTACATCGTAGGCGCTTCGGCGGGAGTCTACGCGCTGCTCATCTCACAGCTGTCCAACATCTTGCTCGTAAGTTAAACCTTCAATTACTAAATGTTACAGCATGCATTTTATGTAGAGCGCGTGTAGTTCATCAAATGTATTGTACAATCATATAAGATTGTTTCTGGAATTTCTTTAAACATTCAGAGTGTATTTTGCAAATCATGAAATTGTGACGTACCGTTATTTCTTCTGTGTCAAATGCATGCTTAAGGGTTTTGCGTGCGAGGTATCACAATAGTGATAAAGTGTCCACATTTGTTGGAGACTACTTGCCTTTGTTTTGAACACTGTTATTTTCTGAATGATTTGTCATATCTACACATTATCATGATTCGATATTTCTTCAGTTTCTGAGAAACCATACGAAAATGGCGGGGCGTTGCTTGAGCTATATTACGTTATTTAAATGACAGAGAGTTTGTAGGTTAAAAAAAAAGTGTGTATGTGTGTAAAAATGTTTCGACTATATTTATGAAAATAAAAAAAAGAGAATTTGATCATTACGTGGTACAGTCTCCCTGAGGTTAAATTTGCAGACACGGATTCAGGAAATGCCTCGGTATGGAGCTTACCTGTGGAACTGGTGCTTTTGTCGAAAAAAAATTACGATTATTGTAAATTGCCTCTTGTATTATACAAATATTGTAATAACATAATATTAAATAATAAAGTCTTATATGCAAACTAATGAATATTAACTTACATGTTTGTTCGATGGAGAGTAGAACATCCGCTGTGGATGTAGTTAAAGAAGTAAAAAATGTAAAATAAATACAAACCGAAACATTTTTAGGTCTAAGGGAGGGAAGAGACTCGTGCTCCCAGACCCTCCCTTCGATGTGCCCGTCTCACAACCTCTCACTTCTCGTCTGCTCTTCCGCAGAACTTCGGCACCATCCGGTACAAGGTGTACCGCACCGTGGCGGTGGTGGTGCTGGCGCTGACGGACATCGCCTTCTCGCTGCACCACCACTACACCTTCGGCAACGAGTGCCCGCGCGTGGGGCTGGCGGCGCACTGCAGCGGCGCCGTGGCGGGCTTCGTGCTGGGGCTGGTGCTCTTCCGCGGGGAGGCGGCCAAGCCCGAGAACGCGGCGTGGATGCGCGCGTGCCGCTGGGCGGCGGCCGCGCTGCTCAGCGCGGGGCTCACCGCCGCCGTCGTGTGCAACGTGCTGCTGCCGCCCGCGCCCCCGCGCACCACGTGAGCCCCCGCCACCTTCAGGCGCCGCAGCCCCGCGCGGAACGAAGAGGGAAGGGAAATGAACGAGTTGAGCCCTTCCCAGAACGGTTGTTGTTGGGTTCGATTGAGATGTTGGCGGAAGGGTTGGTGCTGTTGAGTTCCAAAGAAATGGGCAACCTCGTCGGGAGTCAGCGACTGTGCGCAGAAGCAGGCTGTCCTTCCGTCTTCGAAGCGTCGACGAACACCAGAATCGCACTGAGCTGTCGCTTATGTCACTCCTCCCTTCCGCCCTTTCATTGTGTAGGATTGAATTGTGTCAGATGATTTCAAGATGTCTGAGAATGAGTATTTCAGCGTGTGAACAAAAAGTGTTGCTGAATGACTGCTCTATTCATTGGTCGAAAGGTCGTCGTCGTCGAATGCCAGCTATTTCATACTATCCTTTTACAGTGTAAAAACCTTGAAGGTACTCAAACTTTTAGCGAACTGTAGAGAACCCTAGAGAAGAAGCCTTTTGTGTACAAGCGGGTAATGAATTAATGAATGAATGAATGAATGAATGCCAGTAACAAATTTCAGCTGTCACACCATATTTCCCAATAGCTTCACTGTGGAAGTCACAGTCTTCTTCCCAAATGATTAACTGAGCTCCTCCTTACCTGTTGACAAAAGTTTAGTTCAAAACATGGTCACGTTAATCAAATTATTTTCACAAAGACACAAAATGCCCACTGTTTCATACTTAGTTCATTCTGTAGCAACACTTTCAGGGAATGATCTAATAGAAAAATGAAGCAAAAAACTATTTTCCTCTATTCAATAACTCTGCATTTGCAATGAACTAAAATTTCTTAAGTGTATGCTACATCTTTCTCCCACTTGAGCCCGGATTTCCTTGCTATAAAAATGTATAAAATACATCCTAATATAAAGTAAAATGTTTTTAAATAAGTAATTAGAGGTCTACAAATGTTTTTTTTTCTTTTTTTTGCTTCTTTTGAAATGTAATTAAAAATACCTTGAAATTTTAATTATGGTAGGTATTATCATCAGTTTTACAGGGTTGAAAAATATCAATAAAGAGTTCATAGAAAATCATGTTCCAAAAACAATTTTTGTTTTGTAAAGATGATTTTAAACAAAAATATTAAATCAATTACTTTAATTAAGAGTAAATGTATTGTAATTATCTGTGTTACTACTTCAGTATTAAATAATTTATAAATTGGAATGTTGAAGGTGAGTAAAAGAAAACAATTTGTTTGAAATTATAGTCATCTGAAAATGACGGAGATCCTTGAATTTATTATGGAAACTTAAGAATTACTACCAGGTTCCCCAATTCCAAGGAGCATTTGTATTTTTACTCTAAAGAAACTTCTGATTTTTTAAATTATGTCTAAATGCTTTAAGTTATTCTACATAAAATGCATACAATAATGAATTAATTATAATTAATTTAATAACAAGTAAAATCTTTGTCAATTTTTCCTTTCTTTTTCAAAAAAGTCATCTGATTGCAGAAATCTTCAAATATGCAAAATAAAATTTGCCAGAAAAACTCTCAGTGAGCTTATTTGTAAAGAAATAATTTTCATTTAACTTTTAGTACAATCATTTTCCAAATACAAAAAACACAATGCAAACAAATTCGGGCTCTATGACCCTCATTGCAATTCACATGTCTTTCCTTTTTTTAAAAAAAGTTTCTAAGTATCTGTGAAGCATCCCATTTTCAATAATACATTTTGATGTTATTTTAACTTCTTATTGGTTTCAAGACATCAACTGAATGCAGAAGATAATTGTAATATTATTATATAGAACTTCAACTATTCTTCATTCAGTCATTAAAACTGAAAATTGAAAATTCTATCACTGAATACCAAAGAGAAAAGAAAATGTAGAAATGGGGTTGGGTAAAGAAGTAAATACACACTAAATATTACAAATTTTCAGAAGAATTTGGAACGATAGAGTTTAAAAATACTTCTCATTTTATTGTTATTTCAAACATTGTCACCATGAAGCAAAAAAAATATTGGCATTTTTCACTCACTTATTTTAGATACTAATCTCTATGTTTAACTTATCTGCAGAATCCAAAGTTATTGGCATTTCAAGAAAATTTCATATAACTTTATTATCATTAATTCCTTCCTTCTGTCCTTTGCAATGTCATGCCAGAGAGAGAGAAAGAAACTTTCAGATTGACTTTAACTCAGTGTAAACTGTGTAAACTGGGAAGTCACCATTTGTTTTGTTGGTGCACACTCAATGATCTCATACTTCTCTGATTTAAGGCTGACAGCGCCAGACGCAGTTGTGCTTGTCAAAATAGGGACCAAGCCCACTGCATTGATTCTCTCTGACGTTTGATTCCTCAATATAGGAGTGTTTGCTTCTCTTCATGAACTTTAAAAATAAGGAGAAGCCTATTACTATGGAATCGACTGCAAATGTCTGCCAAAATCTAATGTCTTATTTGTCCTATTGAACTATTTTCCAAACAAATTTGTGCCTTTAATGATGACAACAGCAAAGTGCTGTCAGTTTCACTTCAGACCAGATTCATCACCAGGAAATTCACCTACATCATTACTGTCACTTCTTGTGTTTCTAAAAAGTCTCTTATATAACAATCTAAGTAGAGTTCAAATAAATTTTCTTTTCATAAACAGTTTACTAAAAATACCTTTATCCACTTGGAGTTTCTCAAGACAAACTTTACAAAACTGAGATAAATTTAGTAATGAGTTATTAGAAGTGCTCTAAGAATTCACTGCCTATTGTTAAAAACAATCACCAGTTCCTTAATGAAAAGAAGTATTAACACAAGTATTTTAACAAGCCATGACATTTTATTAACTATATCAACATGAAAATGTGACATTTTGTGAGGTGAATATACAAATTTATACAAAAATTATAGTTTCTTAGAATTTTTACAAACTGGATAACATATTATTTCTGAGAACCTTAATTTTGACAAATCCAGTTACTTTTAACTTTCAAGCTTAAGAACATAAATTTATGATGAGTATTGTTCCTTCCGTTCAGAAAGTGCTTTTCTTGTGATCTGATTATGCACCATATCAAATCAAGTTTCTTTCCATCTCTGGTATACTTCAGCTCAGTCTCTGGTGTGGTTCAAGAATCTTCAAATTGCATATTGTGTCTGCTGTGTTCTGTGTGTGGTAATTACAAAACAATTCATCTTAACACCTTATGTGTTCTCTCAGTGTACTGGTAACTCGCATCATTGCGATTATTTGAATAATATAGTTTTTCTGTAAAAATGTATATGTATTACTGTGAAATTGGTGCCAAAGGAATGTCTGAACATTGATTTGTGTGCCAAATTAAATTTTCGGTTTTATTCACTCCCCTTGGTTTGTGTCTTCTTTTCTAATCGTCGGGTAGATAGGAGTGAATTATTACCTAAATACTGAAATTGGTACCAGACTACAATGGTTGGGCATCTGCCTATTAATGTTCTTGAACACTAAATAGTGTCAGGTTATCTAGGAAATATACAAGCGCAAGAGAGACTATTGTGAAATGATACCATGGATTGATACATAGCATCAATGCATCAGCTTCAACAGTGATAAAGGATTGTTCCAGACTTTCTCTTTATAACATTGTACTCACATTTAGTGGGTCTTGATTACAGTTCTTTTATATCATATTTTCAAATTAAAATTTTAAAAACATTAAATGGATTAGATTTTTGTTGAAGTGTAATGAATTTAATTTACTGTATTATGATGCAGAATCGAAGAGTAAAATCATTCTCATCAGACAGTGAACACAGAAAGAGAGTAATTTACTCATTTGCAGGAAGTGTATTGGACTGCGTAACATGCTGCGGCTGTGTTTGAATATATTCACTGCCAAAGAGAGATGAATTAGCAAAATGTGTTTTGTAATTAACTATCGATCTCAAGAATATAATAAGATTAAATAAGAAATAGAAAATTCTATGAGCTTTAATTGTATATCTCCCTTTCAGAGATCTGTACTCCTCCGATGAGGCTTTGTTTGTTACATTAACTACTTGGAACTCTTTGAAATTCATTAATAGAAACAAATTGTGTGGTTAAGTAACTATATAACTGGATTATATCAACACTTTTTTGTAATAAGACTGTATTCTTTGTTTAAGGCCCTAGTACTATTAAGGGGGAGGGGAGCAAATTATTTTTTTATGTTTAAAAAAAAGTTTAATCCTAAATCATTTTATGAAAAAAAACCAACAAAAGAAAATCATGGGTAATATTTGATTTATTGTGCTTTCTTCAACTTATTCATTTATATGGAGTATAGAAACTTAATAAACCTATGTGAAATATATTTAAATTGATGAGTAAATTTATTTAATACTAAATAGATGTAGAATATATAATGTAATTTACATATATGTTCTATTTCTAATCACATATTGATAAAAGAAAAAATAAGAAATTTATTGTAATTTCTTCTTTCAAAATATAGTTTAATTTTTACAGACGAGTAAATTATATCACATAGAGATTCTTTGGATCCAAGAGGCTTTTTGTTTCTTTCTACATCATGTCTTCCTTGCAGTTATTGACGTTGCCAAAAGGAATTGATTCTTAATCAAATCAAGAATTTTGTGCCAAGTGTTGATGAAATATTGCTGTTAGTAGTCATTTACAAAATAATTAGAGCAAACATGGTGTCTTGTGAGAATGGTGTCTTATTTGATTTGTTTATAGCCACATTTTTTGATTGTATTCTTTTGCAAAATTCACTTTTTAAATGCTATTTTAAGCAAAAGAATGTAGGGATTCAGGTCATAACATTGCAAAATATGTATTATGGTTATATGTAGAAAGATTATTTCACAAGAGAAAACATAAACATACAGATGAGAATTTAAAATTGTGATAGGTATTTATAATGATGAAACATTCATTATCAACATGAATAAATCATTTTAAATGTTTTTAAAATTGTAAGTAACGATTAAGGAACAAAGATGTACAAGTTTTCTAATTT